TACGTATTTACATACACATGCCAGGCAATGACAATTCCATCATGACTATCGCTTGTGTAAAGTGATTTTCAGCTGCATTCCATTTTCAGAGATGTTAAAAGTGAAAAAAGTGAAACAACAAACATGGCGTTTGCCAAGTAAACACATAAACCGTATAGGTACATGTAAGAAGTGCTAGGCGAGTATATATGTGGGTAGGTGAGTCATAACAACATTTTATGCTCAATCTGTCGGTGAAAAATAAGAAATCCACAGCTGACTGGTGATGGAAAGGTCTCTGAGAGATTCAGACGTCCAGGCAGGAGTGTGCACCCTTCTCTCTCTCTTTGAGACCTGCCTTTGCAGGGCTGGAGCAAGAAGGATGGGCTTTCACTTAACTGCAAGAAATTGGGCCGCCTGCTTCTGAGCTCTGGGTTGTTTGTTGTTTTTTTCTTTAACCTCTTGCCCAGTCACTAGGACATCTGAATTTATGCACAATGGCTTAGGATTCTGATTCTGTTAGGGCTTGAGGACACTAGATTTTATCTAGTCAAATCCCTTTATTTTACAAAAATGGAAATTTGATATTTGTATAGAGGCGAAAGGCAACACGTTCATAGTCACATGAGAACAAATATAAGGCGGAGTAAAATGAGCAGATATCTCAGTGGAAGGTCATAGGCTAAGCACCTGGGAAAGCCTAAACTCATCAACATTATTTGAAAGCATCTGTTATGGGTTGAATTGTGCCCCCTCGAAAGTCATTTATTGAAACCCTAGTACCTCAGAAGGTAAGTATATTTAGAGATGAAGTCTCTAAGGAGTTAATTATGGTTAAAATGAGGCTGTTAGGTTCACCCCCAACTCAATCTGACTGCTATCTTGTTTTTTAAAAGATATGTTTTTATTGATTTTTAGAGAGGAAGGGAGAGAGAGCTAGAAACATCAATGATGAGAGAGAATCACTCATTGGCTGCCTCCTGCCACACTGGGGATCCAGCCAGCAGCCTGGGCATGTGCCCTGACTGGGAATCCAATCATGGCCTCCTGGTTCATGGATTGATGCTCAACCAGTGAGCCACACCGCTGGGACTAACTGCTCTCTTTTAAAGCAGAGATTAAGACACACAGAAAGAGACACAAGGGATGCAGTAAGAAAGTCACCATCTGTAAGCGAAGGAGAGAGGCCTTGAGGAAGCCAGCCCAGCGTCTTGATCTGGACCTCCAGCCTCTAGAACTCTTAGAAAAGAAATCTCTGTTGTTTTAGGCCACCCTGAGGTGTTTTTGTGTTTTTTTGTTTGTTTTTTGTTTTTACAGCCCAAGCAAGCTAATACTTTTAATGAGGAAAGAGAAAAGGGGATTCAGAGATATAATTACAAATGAGGGAGGAAGAGCCAACTGGAATGTCCCTAATAACTTACAGCAAGATTGGGCGTTGTTCAATGAGCCCCAGGAGACACGAGAGCCTCCCTTAAACCACAGCACTTCTCTTCCCAAGGCTCTCGGGAAGTATTTGCTAATGCACTTCCGTTAGCCAGGCTGAGGCTTGGTGGAGAATTCCATTAGAGCACTCTGGTTTGCTGGGCCAAGGATAGGACAAAGGCTTTTCCCCCTGCCCTGAGTTCACACCCTCTTTAGCCCCCAGTTGGTTAGGCAGGAGGACTATCCACAGAAGAGAAGAAAATGCCATCTTTGCAGTTTAGGGTTTCTTATTTCTTCTTGAGTAAATTTATATTCCCCTATAATGCCTCCCATCTCATCAGGATTATAACACTACCAGTACCTAATTGTACATCTTTTTCTAACTAAAAAACACATCTTTTGTATTTGTTATAGACCTTTTCTCATTTCTTGTTTCATTTGTTTTCTTCCTTACACTTTACTGCCTCAGAAGAGAATTTAAAGTCCTTCCTCCCTTGTGTTTGGTTCACTTGGAATGGAGGCCAAACACTGGCCCTCATGCTGCCTTTGCCTCAGCTTCCGCTCCCCCTGTGGCTGTCTCCCGCACGGAGGTGGTGTTCTCCAGGGATTCTCAAGGGAAGTCCTTCGCAGACCTACACTCTTCTCCTACCCTACACTGTATTTAACTGGCTTGTTGTTACAGTCTTCCTTGAAAGAAATAGATCTGTACCACTGCCTTTGGTCTCACTCAGCCAGGCACTTCAGTGTTTGTGCTGTTTGTTCAGTCTCCTCACATGCACGAAAAGAGAGCCAATTTTCGCATAGTTTCCATTCTGTGGCTGGAGTTTGGCAGCCTTTTACCTAATGCAACCCTACTGAGGTTCGGTCGGGGGACACTGCTTCTCGAGCCCCTCCACCCCACTTCCTTTGCAGCAATCTGAGTCAGAGCACTGGATGAAAAGCAAGGATACTCGGCTCCTTGGATTCCTTTCATGCGTGTGCGATCTCTCCCTACTTTGCAGCTGGTTGTTTCCTAAGTGTTGCCATCTCTCTGTTGATATAGAGAGAAAGGTCTGATGTCCAGGGGGCAGGGGATGCAGGAGGATATCGTCTTGCATGCTCCTCAAAATAGAATCCATGCAGCAGCAGACGCATGCTCAGTGTTTTAGTTGGTTCATATCCTTGTTCTGAGTGGGACAAGCAGTGAAGCAATAAAAAGATATATTCTTTTTTATTATCTTGCTTTTGCGGAACAACAGATTGCTTTCTTTCCGGTAGCAAAATATGTGTGGGATAATAGTTGTGTTTTGCACCCCCCCCACTTCATCATTTTAATCCTAGTTGTAGGGAACTGCATGAGTTTCATGTTTGTTTGTTTGTTTTCTGACCTCTAAGTGGCAGTCTGTCTTGTCATTTTACTTCTCACATATTCACAGTGTCTGGAATGTCCTTGGTGCTAGACATATAACTCATTTAATAAGTGGATGAATGTCGCCATTGTTATATGACTGGGTTATTAGGACAATTAGCTAGAAGACATTTTCAACTAGGCTTCCTTATTAAGGTTGTTTTATTAAATTTTAGTGCCAATTTTATTTCCTTCCTACCTAGTAATATGGCTATAATTCTATCAAAGGCTAATGACTTGATTCGGAAGTTTTGATATGTGAGATACTTGTATTAAGATCAATCCTTCATTCCATGGTAGGATTCCTTCCAGCCCCATGGGGGATAGTGGGTTGATGGTGACTATATAAATATGAAAACCATAGTTTAAATATAGAAATATATTTTATATTAAAAATAATTACAATGTAGTGTGAGATATAACAGACATGCAAAATGTACCATGAGATACAGAAGGAGTGACACTTAAGTTACATTATTGATAACTTAGAGAAAACCATGAAGATTAAGAGATATGAAGGATAAAGACCTAAGAAAAGGAGCATTTCTCCGGAAGGTAGTAATACTCTGGAATAGTCAGGGAGTTACATGTAGTTAATTATGATTTGGAAAAGAGTGGATGATAACTGGAAGGGCTTTGAAAATGCAGTTACCTGTGGGTCACTAGGATAAACTTTACCTGGAATGTGTGGATGGTACTGGATTCCAAAGGGTGGTGGGCCATAAGCCAGAGTGGAAATGACTGGGGAAGATATGTATGTGAGTGTGGGGCTGGGAGAAGTATATGTGGATTAGGGTTATATAATTGAAAAAGCTTCATATGAAAAAGTGGTTAAAATAGCATTGTATAAGTTAGAAGAGAAAGTGCTGAGAGAATTTTTATGTACTTAGGGAGAAAGAGAAAGAGAGAGAGAGAGAGAGAGAGAGAGAGAGAGAGAGAGAGAGAGATTGTAAGCACATTTGAGCTAGAGTTTGAGCTGCGTAGCTGCTTTAGTCAGCCAACATTTGTTTGGTATCCCTTGGAGTCATGGCTTCAAACACTGGCTCAAATCCAAGACAGGAAAAGTACAGATAAAATTAAAGTATAAGCTAAGAATGCTTGGAGAACAGAACAAAATGAACTACCAGTGACATTGTTGGGGAAACATCATCACCGATCTGCAAGGATATCAGAGGCGTGATGTACTGAGTGAATGTATAACCTTAAATAGTAAATCTAAAGATAGAAAGCTACTATGAAGTAAGGGGTTTACAGCAAGAGTAGGCTCAGGCAATCTGAATATGAAGATTATGTTAAAAATTTTAAGAATAAACTTTTCTTTTTTTTCCAGTTATAGTTGACCTACACTATTATATTAGTTTCAGGTGCAGAACATAGTGATTACACATTTATATACCTTCCAAAGTGATCACGCCTAAGGTACTAAGGTACTAAGTCTAGTACCCTTCTAGCACCATACACAGAGATGACACTCACAAGAATGGACTCTCATTATTATTTGCAATACAGGACTTATCTCTAGAAACTCTTGTATAAACCCCAACATGATGGTACCAAACCTCTATCACTTTATTCAAACACAAATTACCCTCCTACCAATAGCTTCATTTCTTGCATCTTCAGCATGTGCTTTTTGATATAATCTAGGTTTTCTAAATTTTTATTTCCTCATAGAAGTTGTATCCATTATCATAACCTCTACAGCAATTTATATATAACATATAAAATTTATATATAATATTCACCATTTAAATTGTTGTAGAGGTCATGCAATGGATGCCATTTCTAAATCAGGAGATATAGATATAGATATAGATATAGATATAGATATAGATATAGATAGATATTTTTTGAGATTTTATTTATATGTGTACAAGTGTCCTATGGGTGAAAATGTTAAAAATGTCACTATTTTGCCATATTTTTTAGTTACTCAAATTACTGTGCAGCCCAAACTAATTATTTGTAGTGCTGAAATAGCTCTCTCAAGGATGATGAGAATCCAACATTATCCCAGTTAGTAGATATCTGCTACTGAATAGAGTTAAAGGGACAAGTGTTTGATAATATTCAGATTTTTGCCTTAATGTAATTTCATCTCTGGATTTCTTTTGAGAAAGTCATGCCCAGCATTACAATAACCACTAGGGGCCACTGCTGAAGGTGTCCTAGTCTTGTAGGGGGAAAGGTGTGGAAGGAGTTAAGGAGGTGCGAGAAGCTGAAGCTGCTTTTTTAACTAGAAAGTTTGCTGTAAAAATTAAATACAATTTAATAATTACCAAATAACAATGAAGCAAATGTCATCAGCTATTAATATGCTGATTTAGTTCTGAATTTCCTAATATAGTTGGCAAAATGGGAGCTATACCAGGATGGGGCAGTTGTTCGTATGGAAAATAATACAATAGTTAATGTTTAAACAATAACACAAGAATAAACTCTTGTTTTGTGTACTCACAACTATAAACCTACTTTTGCCCCCATCTGTATTGGACTTATATTGTCTAGTAAGATAAAGTAATACCAGCTCATCTTCTGAGACAGACTTTGGAGGCACAATTTCAATCCATTGTGTGATACAGAGAACAGACTCAGAGCTGTCAGAATGGACGGGGGATTATGAGGCTGGCTGGAAAGGTGAAAGGATTAAGAGAAACAAAACAAAACAACAACAAAAACTCACAGATACAGAAAATAGTATGGGATTACCAGAGGGAAAAGGGCATGGGATGAGGTAGAAGAGGATAAAGGGGGAATAAATGATGACAGAAAGAGACTTGACTTTGGTGGTGAACACATAATACAATACCTATTATAGGATTGTACACTTGACACCTATATAATTTTATTAACCAATGTCACTACAATAAATTCAATACAAAATAAAAATAATAAAATAGTAAAAAATAAAAATTAATCCATTGTATCTTATATTTTTAAAATTTATCTTTGTTGTTGAAAGTATTACAGATATCCTCTTTTGCCTCCCTCCACCCACACACCTCCCCCTTGAAGTTCCCAGGCCTTCCCCACACTATTAATTGTGTCCATGGGCTTTGTGAGTCTTTATCTGTAGGCTATGGAGCAACATATCTGGCAATGTTTTCAATTAGATTTTGCAAAAGACCCACCTATGTTGTTCAAAATGGAGTTTTATGTATATATTATCTAAAAACTTGAGCGAATAACATTAAAACATCACTTGGGGAAGGCATTTCTGCAGGAAAAAAATGAGTCAGATTAAGGAACATTACTTCCTAATGGTCTTTCTTAATGCAGACATTAAGCTTAAAGCTTCTAGGAGAATGCTTAGTTAAGGTACCCATTATGTCATTTCTCTGACATATCAGTTGTTTAAAATGATCTATTCACAAATGCTAAGAGTTGACTTTGTGTATTTATCTGATAAGAACCTGGAGCAGAGCTACTGCCAAATGAATCTGGTTTATTGGTTGAAATGGGAGTCATGTGCTTGACTTTTAGGAGTTGAGCCTTCTATTGGCACTCACTTCTATCTGCTTCAGCGACATTTCTCTCTCTTGGTTTGTCACCACCCCTGATACTATTCAATCTTGATTTTCCTTCTGCCCATTCTTTAATCGCTGGTGCTCTTCCACTGTTTTATTTTCACTGTGTGTTCGAACTCTTCCTGTGGCAACGTACTCCCTCTCTTTAACCACCATGCATATGCTATCATGTCTGAAACTATATTTCCAGTTGGGACACCTCTTCTGAGATCCAGGCTTCTAGTTCCCACCACATCTCCATTTGGAAGAATATATGTATGTATAGATATTGTAAACTCCACTTCTTCAAAATTTAACTTATCAGATTCTCTCTTACTTCTATGTTCCTGATATTAATACCACTATTTAACCAGTCATTCAAGGGTGCCATCCATCTGGAAATCAACTAAGATGTATTCCCTTTCCTCTTCTTTCATATCTTACATTGCAGAATACTATCAATTTTCTGATTCTTCTGCCTTTATGGTAATTGTCTTAGTCCAGATACTAATAAAATTTAAATGGAATTATATTAATAACTCCCTGCACACACATGTATATGCATTTGTGCATGGGTGCACACACACACACACACACACACACACACTAGATGGGAAAACCTTAATAGCATAGATTTTTATCTCATTTTTGCTTTTCTGACACATTCTAGTTGCAAAATGTTTATTGAATGGATATGTAATGGGACAAAATAAATAATTAAATTTAATTAAATTTAAAATGGCCCTGCCTTTCTTATTTTTATTATTACTATTTTACTTATTTAATTTTTTTGTCTTTATTGTTTTTAACAAGAGTTTAGAGGTCTTGTGGTTTCATTTCTTTCCTTTCCCTCAGTTTCTCTGGAGGTTTCCACCTTTGCTAGCTAGCATGGTTCTTTGGGATTTTGTAATAGTGAATCAAGATAAGAAGAAAGAGGGAAGGAAGAGAAGTCTTTATTCAGGGCTTGAAGTGAAATTACTCAGAGAAACTGGAGAAGATTCCAGAAAGGCAAGTGTATTATCCTATATAATAAAAGCAAAGTATGCAAATTGTCCCCTCAACAGGGAGTTTGTCTGGGAGTTCAACCAGGGGGCAGGGCCAGCCAGGGGAAGGGAGGGAGGCCCCTGCCAGTGGTGGAAGCCAGCAGCCTCTCAGGACCTTACTGGGCCTCTAGTATTAATATAATGGACTAGAGGACTGGTGCCCGACATTCATGCACTGGGTTGGGGGGTTCCCTCAGCTTGGCCTGCACCCTCTTACAGTCTGGGACCCTTCAAGGGATGTTCACCTGCCGGCTTAGGCCTGCTCCCCGCATGGCGGACATCCCCCAAGGGGTCCTTAGCACTGCTGCAGAGTGGAGAGAAGCTCCTGCCACCACTGCTGCACTTGCCAGCCATTAGCCTGGCTTCTGGTTGAGCAGAGCCCCTCTCCGCGCCCCCATTGGGAGTGCACTGACCATCAGGGGCAGCTCCTGCATTAAGCGTCTGCCCCCTGGTGGTCACTGTGTCATAGCAACTGGTTGTTCCGCAGTTTGGTTGATTTGAATGTTAGGGTTTTATTATATAGGACTAGAGGCCTGGTGAATTCATGCATGGGTAAGGTCCCTAGGCCTGGCCGGCGATCAGGGCCAATCGGGGCCTTCTGGCTGATAGCCAGGGCCTTCCTTCCAGCTGCCAGCTGGGGCCTTCCTTCCAGCTGCCAGCTGCTTGCTGGAGCCTTCCTTTGTTCCATCCACCCCATGGTGATCAGTGCATGTCATAGCGATCGATGGAACTCCTGGTCTCCCAGTCAAACTCCTGAGGGGACACTTTACATATTAGCCTTTTATATATGTAGGCAAGTGGCCTGGTGCACGAAATTCATGCATGGGGGGTGTCCCTCAGCCCAGCCTGCACCCTCTCCAATTTGGGACCCTTGCTGCCCTCCCTTGCCAGCCTCATGGCCCCCAACTCCCCTCCCAGACTGTTCTCCTAGAAGGTCTCCTAAACTGATCTTTTTATTAGTATAGATGTGGCAGAAAAGAGAAATTTCAGAGTATGTTATGGTCAGGAGACCTCCCTCAAGTGTTGAGTAATGCAAGTAGAATAAAAGAAATATGAAAGATAAAATTTGAAATTACTTTTTATTGCCTAATTATGTATAGCCTGACAAAAGAGTCACAGATTCAGTGCAGATAATGGAGTACAGAATACATAAAGGAGTGAGCTAATGATTGATTGAATGAATGAAATCCTGACCAGCATTTTCATCTAGATGGAGAGTATTTCATATCTGCATAGAATTTACTACAGATGGTCCACGGGTAAGGGATTGTAAGCAGAGAATTTTGTGAAAGTTTATTTAGAAAAGGTAATTTTGATTTATGTATTTTCAAGATAAGGTGATAATTATTTCTTAATAGTAAAGGTGCTTTAATAGAACTGTATCCTGATGAGCCTATTAAAATAAATTTATATATGAATATTTGTCAAAGCACTAAATAAGTTACCGTATTTGCCGGCGTATAAGACGATTTTTTGGCCCTGAAAAATATGCCTCCAAGTGGGGGGTCGTCTTATACGCCAGGTACACTTCAGATAGACTGCCCATAGTGCTTGCCCCGTGCCATAGTGGCCTCCCGATGCCCGCCCACTTCATTCCACATACCGTTCAGGCATCAGCAGCGCTGCTGGGTGTATGCTCGGCTGTTATGCGATTTTGCTGTTATGCGATTTTACCACACTCGCAAAATCGCACACAGCCGACCATACACCCAGTATGATAGCGCAAAATCACGAATCGCGATACCATACTGGGTGTATGGTTGGCTGTGTGCGATTTTGCGAGTGTGGTAAATTCGGGTTACCGTATATTTCTTTACATATGCATTGAAGATTCGCGATTTTGCGCTATCATGGTGCCTGTTAGAATGTTGAAGAGCTCGCACTTGCGCACTAGTGAGGTCCCAGGGAGATGCTGATGCAAGGGTGGACCAGACTGCTATTTGCTAGGGACTTGCCCGGCACTTGCTCTCTACCTCTATTTGTTATCTTACTTCTATCATTGACAGTCCCTCTAGGTTGTGGGCTGCTTGCCTGTGTTCCTGAGAAGCATCTACGGTACCAGTCTATAGAGTGTGTTTTCTTTAGTGAATTACCGGTATGTTTACCGGTAATAAACTTGCACTGTTTTATGTATATGTTTGATTACATACAGCCTTGTGACAGTTTTCCTGCATGTCATAAGCATTTGAATATAAATTAAAATGTTAAAATCAAATCTGATATTGTTTTACCTTTTATTTGGTGTGTGGAAGGTGTGCGGAAGAGGGGGTAGTCTTATACGGCGAGTATATAACAAACTCTGTATTTTGAGTGGAAATGTTAGGGGGTCGTCTTATACGCCCAGTTGTCTTATACGCCGGCAAATACGGTAATTTCTTTGATGAGACTGCTTAATATTTTCTAATTAAATTACATTTATAAATATGCTGACTTCAATTTTAATGTAGTCGATGGAAAGCTTTGTGAGTATGTATATATTTTATGGATAATGTTCAGCAAATATGTTCAACTTTCTTTAATTCACCTTCTAGTCATAATAGAACTGTTATTCACTTAACAAAGAATGAATGCTCTAGCAGATGCATCTGATCACCTAGTAACTAAGTGTTCATTGTAGATGGGGGCCTTTAGGACATAGGCTTGACTTTCACATCATTACCAATGGATTTTTTTTTCTGTCATAAATTTACTTCCTCTCACTGTGATATCAGCAATTTTATTAGAAAACAGCCTCAAGGAAGCATTAATAGTGTAAGAGTAAGAGAATGATGATCTGATTTAGTTCACAGGCAGTTCCTTTTTAAGAATTTGCAAAATAATGAGTGGTTGGTACAATTGCAAACAATCTTATCTTATCTTTACCTATACTCTTAATAATTATCTCACTGTCGATGTCAAGCAGAAATATCTACTGGGTCCATACTAGATTTAAAAACAGAGTTGTAATCTTTTTTCGAGAAGAAAACTGGAGAGTAGAATATCTGGTAGGACAACTAATGTATAATTTAAGATATATTTTCTTTATAAAGATAATATAAACAACACGTTATTTTGAAGACATTATTGGATAATTTAACAAACTTTGATTCCATCACTAAGGCCTGGTTCTGAACTATTTGGTATTTTAAAGTATTAGCCCGTCTTCCTACTCTTCTTTTTCAGTTCTGGGGATTGGAGTTTCTAAACCTGAAGATTGGGGTCCTAGATTCCTTGTAGCTGTGCCATCTAATGAGGTAGCCATTAAACAGCATGGCTATTGGATGTGTTTGAATGTGGCAAGTCTGATTTGATGGGGTATCAATGTAAAATGTATACGCCTGATTTCCAAGGCTTAGTTTGGAAAAAACATTGCATTTTTTCATAGTTTTAAACATTTTTTATCTTTTATATACATGTTGAAATAATTTCATCCATTTCTTTCCAGTTTTTTTGTAAATGTGGCTACTAGACATCTTATTTTATTTATTTTGAAACTTTTTTGTTCCATTGACTTACTTATTTTATTGTGACACTATTATGTATGTACTCATCCCCCTCCCCCCCCCCGCCAGCTTCACTTTGCCCATTTCCACCCAGCCTTCAGCCCCTCCTTCCCTCTGAGCATCACTATACTGTTGTCTGTGTCTATGGGTTATGTATGCACTTATGTTCTTTGGCTAATCTCTTCATCTTCTTTCATCTATCTCCCTCCCTCTCCCCTGCTTCCCCCTGACAGGTGCTAGTCTGTTAAAATTATATATTTGGCTCACTTTCTACTTCTATTGAATGGTATGGCTTTAGACTATAGAAAATTTGTCATAGGATTGTGACTCTAGTGACATAATTTGCTTAGATGTCAGTGGGTATTTGAGCTTTTATAATTTTATTAGCTTAAGACATTCTGATAATAAGTGTCTCCAAATATGTACCCATTAAAATTTTCTTCTCATGCAGTTAAGGTGTTGATAAGAGAATTTTCTCTTAAGTCTTTGGTGACTGAATGACTTCTTGGTGATGCAAGGACAATTTTCGGTAACCCAGCAGCCAAGGTGACAATCCAGATAAGGTGGGTAGGCTAGTTGATCTTTCAAGTCTAAGGCAAGAAAAAAATTTCAGCTTCTCTGATGGAAATGGCTCTGGATCCAGAATTCAGAAGACCTCGGTGAAGCCAAAGCTTTCTTGGCCACTTGTAAACTAGTTGTATGTTCTCCAGCAATAAATTATCTTGCCTGGAGCCAACAATGTGTTTTCATACCTATTAAGGGGGGGAGTTAATAACAGCAACACAATCCATCCACAAGGTTATTGTGGTAAGTGGAATTCTGATTGTTAGAGTGCTCAGTAACACTAAGCCTTATTACATAAATAAGATGTTTTGATTGTATTACCTTTTAAGAGACAGTAAAATTGTATATATATATTTGTTTTACTGTATTTTTTGGAGGGAAAAATATATATATGGTATTTATTTAGCAGAGCTCTTGCAGAGCCTAAACTGATACGTCTACTCTCTGGCCCCTAATTCAGGCAGAGATGATGGCCTTAGCTGTTTCTGTGTTCAGTTGCTGTGAGGCTTATTACCAGAGTGGTAAAAAATAAATGTATATTTTTTCTGTAACAACTTTAGACAGTAGCTAATGACTCCACGCTATGAGTAGAATTTAGCTCACTAATACTACTTTGCATTCATCTTCCTCTCGCCTCCCACATTTTATGATCTATATCACTATTTAATGTTTTTATTGCTTCTTCTATTTAACTTTAAATAATATAATTAAATTCATCTTTCTCCTTTTCATTAACTTAGTGTCTCTTGGTTTTTCCTTGTGTAAAATGAAAGCATTAGGGTCCCTACTGCATTTTCCCCTCTCCTTCTCTCCATCTTGTAACTTCTTTGAACTATGCCATCCTATCTAATAAAGATGGAACATGCAAATTGACCATAACTTCACAACAAAGATGGAGACACCCACAGCCAATAAGGAGGGAATATGCAAATTGATGCAACATGGCGAGAGTTGGAAGATGGCTCCAGGCCGGAGTGAAGGCAATGCTGGCAGCCAGGGGAAGGAAGGCCTATTTTTGCATGAATCTTCATGCATTGGGCCTCTAGTTACTTTATACCTTCACAGTTTCAGTTCAACCTTAATTTCTGTCAACTGAGTGATTCCAAAATTGAGAACCTCTAAACATATCTTACGTGATCAGGATTAGATAAAGTGTATTCACAGCAGAATCCAGCAGTGAGTTTTTCTTTCCTTAAAAGGAGTTTTGGATAATTCTCCTGGGGCTTCCTTCCTGTGGACTTAAAACACCATACTGAGGTATGGTAGAGAAAGCCTTATGCTGTTCTATTCCAAGAAAAGCCTATGTATATGATGAGAATGACAGCACTAATTACACTTAAATCATCATGGCTTGTACTTTCATGAGGACGTTTGCCTAAACGTTGTAATGTCTTTTAGAGAATAATGAAGACCTGCCTCCTCATACCCATAATAGGAAAGCACGTATTGTAATTGGTTGTTATTGCTGTCCATCATGTTGGGATAAAAGAAGTGGACAGGTTACCTCGAAGGACAGATTAGTTTATCTTTAGATCTTTGCCCTAGATGGATCAAAATTTTAAAATCCACCTTTTAAAATATGGAAATAGAGTGGGTGAGTTATAGAAAATCTCAGGTCTTTGAAACAGTTAAAGCAGTGGTTCTCAACCTTCTGGCCCTTTAAATACAGTTCCTCATGTTGTGACCCAACCATAAAATTATTTTTGTTGCTACTTCATAACTGTAATGTTGCTACTGTTATGAATCATAATGTAAATATCCGATATGCAGGATGGTCTTAGGCGACCCCTGTGAAAGGGTCGTTCGACTGCCAAAGGGGTCGCGACCCACAGGTTGAGAACCACTGAGTTAAAGAGATACTCAGGTGACTGAGTTTGAGAACCCAGTGTATATAATCTTTGATTATTAATTAAATTGACTAGCAAATAGAGAAGTTTTTCTGGAATCTTTCTACTAATGTTTGTATCTCAAGGGTGTGAACTTTTTATTGCTTAAGTAAAATACCTTATTAATTAGTTTGGCTCAGCAAAAAGAAAGAAGTCTTTCTTGATCTTTGGCCAAAATAATTTTCTAAAATAGGTTAAGAGCAGGAAACATAATCCTGTGTCATTCAATTGTGCCACTTAAAGTCCGCTATTCTAAGCATCAAAAGCACATATGTTCTCTTGGAAATATTTTTGACTGTGTGTTTTTCCTTTCTTCCAGCATTAAAAAAATAATTAACAAAGCAAAATAAAAAAAGATCTTCTGTTGCATCTTTCTGAAACTGCTTCTTGCTGCCATAAGACACTACTTGGTTGAAATATATTTAGTTTCTTCAATGCTCCTGGGAAAAGAGGCAGACCTTTTCCTGGATGTGGCTTCTGCTTCTGTTTAATGTTGCATACCAAATTATTTGTCTTTATTAACTTTCTTTTTTGTTTGTTTTGAAGTTATTGTTTCTCATGCTTGGTTTATTTGCAGGCATCATGCTAATCTTCTCAAAACCTTCATATTGCCATTTTAGAATCGAGAGGATGACAGATGGAGCCTAGACTTAAGCTCATGTCTAACTCAGAACTCATCATTCATTCCACTCCTCTGCACTGTACACAGTGTATGCTCTGGGAGAACAAGCGATGCCACATAACTGATGGTGTTCCATTTCATCATTTCAGCTTGCCTGCCCCTATTAGCAGTAAGTCAGAAAGCCCCCCCACCCCCCGCCTAAGCTCTATATTTCATCTTCTATAATAGACAATAAGCTCCTGCAGGGAATTATCATCATTTGTGGTGTATTTTCATAACTCCTGCGCCTAAAATAAAACCTTGGCCTAGTAGGAGGTAATAAAGCTATACTGATGATGATGAAGAGAATAACTATTAGCATTTAGTATTAATAGATAATTTCAATTTCTGTTCCCTTCCCACACACATTTTTTTAAAGCTTCACTTTTGAAAGCTTCCCACACTTCTCTAGATAGTTTGACTTCAATTCTGTACTTCACACTCTGCCCTCCCCAGAGTGAGAGCTCAGCTATCAGAAAGTCACCGTTCTTCTTGTGAAATAAAAATCTAGGGCAATCCTAGGGAGTGGGCCATATCACAATACGGGATGGAGCTGAGACAGAGCACATAAGTCTAGAATGCCAAAGTGAAGTTTAATCCTTTTCTAAACATAATTCTTAGATAATAGAGTCATGAATTAAAACCTGCCTCTTGCAGCATATATATGACAAACAGTGTTCTGCACTCAGTAGGTAAGTGAGCTTCCTGCGAAGCCAGTGGAAACCTCATCTGTGCCTTCTTCCATCTATCAAATCATCTGAGCTCTTTGAGTTAACGAAATGGCATTGCAATGGAAGCAGCGATGTAGTAGCTGATAGTGTTTGTTTTAAATGCTTTCATTTGCTTTATTTTTTAAATTAAATGTATTGGAGTGACATTAGTTAATAAGATTATATAGGTTTCAAGTGTACATTCCTATTATACATGACCTGTATAATGCATTGTGTGTCCAACACCCAAAGTCAAATCATCTCCCATCACCATTTGGCTCCCTTTAGCCTTTACTACCCCATTCACCCACTTCTCTCTGGTAACCATCATAGAGTTGTCTGTGTCTGAGTTTCATTTTTATATTCCACACATGAGTGAAATCATATGGTTCTTAGTTTTTCTGACTGACCTGTTTTGCTTAGCATGATATTCTCAAGGTCCATTCATGTTGTCACAAATGGCAGTATTTCATCTTTTCTTACAGCTGAATAGTGTTTCATTGCATATCTATAACACATCTTCTTTATCCAATCATCTATTGAAGGACATTTTGGTTGTTTCCATGTTTTGGCCAACATGAATAATGCTGCAATGATCATAGGGGTGCATATATCTTTGCGAATAAATGTTTTCACATTTTTTTATGTGTAGACCAGAGGCCCAGTGCACGAATTCATGCATGGGTGGGGTCCCTTGGGGTAGCCTGCAGAGATTGGGCCCCCAGCCTTGCAGCCCAAGCTCACACCCCTAGCCTCACAGCTTCAGCTCGCACCCCCAGCCTCGCAGTGCAGCAGCCCCTCTTGGCACCCTGCCTTGGCCTGGCACCACCCGCTCACCTGCTCAACCATCCCACCCCGGGTCCTGCTCTCATCGGGGCTCATCGAGGCCAGCAGCGCCTCCACTGCTAGGGGTGCATATATCTTTGAAAATAAATGTTTTCACATTTTTTTTATGTGTAGACCAGAGGCCCAGTGCACGAATTCATGCATGAGTGGGGTCCCTTAGGGTAGCCTGCAGAGATTGGGTCCCCAGCCTCACAACCCAAGCTCACACTCCCAGCCTTACAGCTTCAGCTCGCACCCCCAGCATTGCAGTCCAGTAGCCCTTCCTGGCACCCTGCTTTGGCCTGGCACCACCCGCTCACCTGCTCAACGGGGTGCATATATCTTTGCGAATAAATGTTTTCACATTTTTTTATGTGTAGACCAGAGGCCCAGTGCACGAATTCATGCATGGGTGGGGTCCCTTGGCGCACCCTGCCGAGATTGGGCACCCAGCCTTGCAGCCCAACCTCACACCCCTAGACTCACAGCTTCAGCTCGCACCCCCAGCATTGCAGTCCAGTAGCCCTTCCTGGCACCCTGCTTTGGCCTGGCACCACCCGCTCACCTGCTCAACCATCCCACCCCGGGTCCTGCTCTCATCGGGGCTCATCGAGGCCAGCAGCGCCTCCACTGCTGCCCACTGCTGTGTCGCCGATGTCCGCCATGTTCCATGCCAACCCCTGGTGGTTAGCACATGTCATAGCAAACTCCAGCAGCGCCTCCACTGCTGCCCACTGCTGTGTTGCCGACGTCCGCCATGTTCCATGCCACCCCCTGGTGGTTAGCACATGTCATAGCAAGCGGTCGAACTCCAGGTCTCCTGGTTGAACTCCCAGTTGAATGACCGCCCAAAAGGACAATTTGCATATTAGGCTTTTATTATATAGGATACCCAGAAGATAGATTGTTGGTCATAAGGGAACTCTATTCTTAATTTTTGAGGTACCTCCATAATATTTTCCATTCTCACCACCAGGGAATGAGGTTCCTTTTCCCCCACAACCTGGCATGAGCCACAAAGTGAGTGAGAGGAAAGGTGCTGGAATCCTAGGCATTCCTCAGATGGCTGCTATTTGTGCTGGGCTTGGAGGTGTCCATGAGAAGCCAAGCTGTGAACCAAGTGTGGCTGCTTGTAGTGCTGGGCTTGGGCCACTTAGCAAAGAGCATGTTGAGGCCAACTCTGCACCCAAGTTGGGTGGAGTGG